GATTCAATTACCTCCCAGCAGGTCCCTCCCATAACACTTGGGGATTTATGGGAGCTACAGTTCAAGATGAGATTTGGGTAGGGACACAGCCATATCACTCAGTGATATAAAGGAAAAGAACAAGGTGCTAAGAGAGATGAACCAGGAGACCTCATTTAGATGGGGGATGGTGTGAGAGGTGGCACCACTGAGGAAGTGGTTTTTAAGCTAATCTGAAGGAAGAGATGGGGGTGAAGATTGTTGTGGGCAGCAGGAACAGCAGGAAAAAGCCCCTGAAGTGGGGACAAGCTTGGCTTGGGTGGAGCATGGTGATAAGAGGAGAGTAGCCTGAGAGGAGCCTGGCAGGAGATGAAGCAGGGGCTAAGCCTTGCAGGCTCTTATAAGTCATGTGAAGATTTTGGCATTTTTGCCCTAAGTGCATAGAAATGATCATAACGTGAATTACTTTACTATAGTTCATCAGGCTTGAATTATTTAAAGATAAACTAATTAGGCTTGAATTGTTTTGAAAGATAATTAATTGCTGTGTGGTGCTGTGTGGAAAAAGGGATTGGAAGGAGACGAGAGACGGTGAGGAGAGCAGTTGGAGGGCTATTGTAATAGCCTAGGTGAAAAATAGTGGTACCTGTATCATGGAGACAGCAGTGCAAATGGAGCTATTTCAGAGCTATTATGATACCATTTACAGGTTTTGCTACAGCATTGAAGTGGAAGAGGTGATAACTCCTAGGTCACAGCATTCCTACACACTATGCTTAGTGACACCAATCCTAGGTATCACAAAAACTAAATATCCATTATATCAATTTGTATAAATATTTAAGGTTTGTAGGCATGTGTGCCCATGTATATGCATGTGATTAAATTACCCATATTTACTTTGATAATTATATGTTGTTATGAAATTGAAAGTCACTCTCATAGCACCACCTTGTGGACAGTAACAAAAAGTGTGTGTGTGTGTGTGTGTGTGTGTGTGTGTGTGTGTGTGTGTGTGTGTGTGTTTTGTTGGATTCCATCACTAATATAAAACACAATAAAAGTTCTCTAGAAAGTTTACCAGTTTTCAGCCACCCTAAGTCCTTGGAAGGAGAGGGGCTAGAAATACATTCAGAAGAGTTAAACTGGCTATCCTGAAAATAATAGGTTAAATCCATTCATTGCCTGGTTGATTTTAACATAAAGAGTCATTGACTAAAAGTATCTTTTATTCAGATAGCTCCTGACAGCCCATAATAATACTTTTAGTTTTTACGTCAAAATGAGTTTTTTTTTTAAGTGCATTTACCACTTATCTTCATGAGATTAGGGGAAGCATTTTTTGTATAAATATCAAGTCTGATGGAAACAGATTTATCTTAATTCCTTACTTAAGTTCTGAACTCACCTAGAATTGCATCCTCTGAGACTGGGCTTTTCTTGCTGCCATCTTGAGTCTGATTTGGTTTTCTCTGTTGCGCTTTCTTTTTTGCTTGTATCATTTCCTTCAGACTATGTCCTTTAGTTCATCATTCTGTCCTGTTCTATTGCTCTGGGCTTCTCAGGAGACCTCTTTCCTTCACAAGACTGGCTTCTCCAGATGTTAGAAAGTGTCTCTACATGAGAAACAGATCCCTCTCTTAATATCCCAAAGCACAGGGTTAGAATGTTTAACATCTTAATTCAAACACAAAGGAATTACAATGCAGGAAAACCTCAAATTTTACTTCTCCTGATCGTGTCTGTCCTTTGAGAACCCCCCTTGGACTTCTGATTGCAGTTCTCTGCCACTTGGCTGTGTTCCCTAAGTGTTGGTCCAGGCGCTGGGCAAGGCCCCCAACTCTGGCAGGGGCATTAGGGTGGGGAGAGCCTTTCTTCTCTCCTCTTAGGCCTGCTCCTTCCAGCTCCCACAATGATTGACAGAAGAAGTGCCTGTCCTCACGTACAGGGGGTGGTTTCTAGACACAATTCAATTCTCATTCTCCTCCTCTGTCTCTGGCTGTTTCTACTGAGCCTCCTTTCCTGGCTGGTCGCACGCTGCCTGACTGCTGACACTGGGAGATCCTCAGGGCTCAGCATTAGGCCCAGCCCTCTTCTTGCTTCATACTCTCCTTGGACAGTCTTATCCCAGGCCACCACGTTACTTACCCTTAGTGACTCCCAGATGTATTTATTTCTCTGGTTCAAACCTCTTCATTGATTTCCAGATCCTTATTTCTGATCCATTGGTCTGCCTTTCCACTTGAACATTTCATGTCTAAGACTGGACATGTGATTTCTTGCCCTCAAAATCTGGTGTGCTTTGAGTGTTTCCAAGTTCCATGAAGGCACAACCTTCCATCCAGTTATCAAATCAGAGACCTAGAAGTCATTCTTGACCCCTGTCTCTTTCTTCCTCATCGCCCTCCCCATGTAGCCTTTTTCAGCCTTCTCCATTACCTACCAAGGGGTGTCTCCTGAGGGGCCTGCTTCGATCTGCTTGAATTGCCCCCACTCTGTTCTGAGCATCTCTTGTCCACACCACTGTTACAGCTGCCTACCTCATCTCTGCATGGAGCTCTCTCCAATCCATGTTCCACACTGAGGCATGTGTTCAAATTGCAAGTCTTACCAGGCCACTGAAAACCTTTCCAAGGTTTCCCAAACCTCATAATCCACACTGCCTTGGAGTGGCCCCACCTTTGCCCTGGCTGCTTCTCAACCACTCTCCAGCCCCCAGGCTTTTCTGTTCCTCAGGCACATTCACCACAGGGCTTCACATCTGCTCACCCCTCTTCCCCCCACCCCGTTATCTCTACGCAGCCAACCATCTCCTCCTCAGAGATGCTCTTTCCTCTTCTTTCACTTCTTTATTATAAGATTGACACACCCAAAATCTCTTCCCTCAGTTCTCAAGTTTATCTTTTTTAAAGTGTTTTTTTTGATTAATTGCCATCTTCTCAGAGAGTCTAAGTTTCATAAGAAAAGAGGGGGGTGCCACATCTGATCTTGCTCACTGTGCTGATTTTCCCCAGCATTCAGCATAGTGCCTGACACATAGGGCATGTTAAAAAAACACTGAATGGCTGAGCATGGTGGGTCACGCCTGTAATCCCAGCACTTTGGGAGGCTGAGCAGGTGGATCACTTGAGCTCATGAGTTCAAGACCAGCCTGGCCAACATGGTGAAACTCAATTTCTACCAAAAACTACAAAAAAATTAGCAGATGTGGTGGCACGCACCTGTAGTCCCAGCTACTCAGAAGGCTGTGGCACGAGAATTGCTGGAACCCGGAAGGTGGAGGTTGCAGTGAGTTGAAATTGTACCACTGTACATCATGGTAATTTCCGCAGTGTGAAGTGAAGGGAATCTCAGGCCTCCCCAACCCTGGCCTGCTCCTACCTGGTCTTGTGACATTGGTGAAAATGTTCTTGGAAAAATGATTCACACATCTTCTCTAAAAGCAAACAATAATTCGGGGGAATGTTCCAGTCTAAGTTGATATTTGAAAGAGGAAAATAGTTGCCATCTCCTCAAGGGTTCTTTCCCATTAAAGATACAGTCAGTTTAGATGACTATTCAGAAAAATTAATATCTCCGTCTTCAAGCAAACAGCTTTCTCCTGCTTAATATTTGAGAAGCTGAAAAAAAGCAGTCATTTTTCTCAAAACAAAGTTTAAGAGTGAACTAATGGCTCTGAGAAATTTCTAGTTGCTTTTAAATAACATGTCCCCACTCTAAAGAAAAACATAAAATATTACTGGGTACCCTGTTTATAAAATAAGAACTTACTTTCACTGAACATTGATGTACAAAGTAATATGTTTATTAAAATTATTAAACTTTTACATCTAAAACATAGGTACTTAAGCTTTCCTCCATAATTTTAGTTATTTATAAACTTGTTCCAGAAATAATTTAACCCAAATTCCAACACCATATAAAATATGGCAAACTGGCATGAATTATAAACAAATTAAAAATTCAAAGGAGAAATAAGGGAAGGAACATACAATGGATACAAGAATGAGGTCAGTTGAAAAAGTGGCTTTTGTAAGGACCAATATACTACCTGACAGTCATCCTGCTTTGCTCCCTTCTAAAGAACCCTGATTTTGTTCTAATATCAGGTGCCCTGTGCTCGGTCTCAGAGGATGAATCATGATTGATCTGAGTCACACATACCCTAGCAAGACAGTTCTTGTTAAGTGGAATATCTTTATTGTTTGAGTCTTTTAGTGAGATCTCTTACTTGCAGCTGAGCAGTTCCTTACTAATGCACTTGGTGTGGTTTCTAATGCTCTAGCATTCAGCTCCAAAAGAAACATTTAGTAAGAAACAATGCAGTGTCCATAAAACAAAAAACAGGCCTGGACCCCAGGAAAAGCACAATATAAGTAAGTTTAAGACTACATAAGACCAGAGTCTGTAGGGATACACTTATTTGTCCAGTGTGTTTAAAATCCCAAATGAAAACACCAATGATAAAGATATTATAATCCACAGTCCAAGCCAAATTGCCTTTCTCTTCTGATGTAATTTATTATTCACCTTGAAGTTTCATTTTTTGCATGGTCCTTAAGTTAAAACATTATTCTTTGAGCCAAATGCAAATGCATTTAATAAATTAATTTGAATGAGTACAGAAAGATTGTTCTTTGGAAATTAACCTTTGGATTGTGAATACAGAGCCCTAAGTCTGTGAGGTGGCAGTTTAGTGGGATGGGTGGGAGTATCTACATTATTCTCGTGTACTTCTGTTTTTTTTTTTTTTTTGAGACAAAGTCTTGCTCTGTCACCCAGGCTGGAGTACAATGGTGTGATCTCAGCTCACTGCAACCTCCACCTCCTGGGTTCAAGTGATTCTCCTCAGCCTCCTGAGTAGCTGGGATTACAGGCGCATACCACCCGGCTAATTTTTTCTTTTTTTTTTTTTTCTTTTTAGTAGAGATGGGGTTTCACCATGTTGATCAGGCTTGTCCTGAACTCTAGACCTCATGATCCACCCACCTCAGCCTCCCAAAGTGCTGGGATTACAGGCGTGAGCCACTGTGCCTGGCCTTTCATGTACTCCTTTTAGAAGAAATATATGTCTACTCGGTATCTCTTCAGAAAGACCATAAGCATTTAACAGGACAGGGAAAGATTATATTCTAAAAAGAATTGTTTTCCCTTTTGGATAATGAGATAAGAGATTTTATTTTTATATATAATTTTATGTAGAAACCAGAATTTTTCTCAGTGTATCTGTTTGTATTTATATCCAGTGTTGAAGAAGAGAAACAAATATAGCACTAATAAAAAGAATGTCTCCTTGTGCCTACTGGAACCCACATGTCAACTGCTATAGCTTCCAGCTCACCAGGAATAGCCCCTGCTCAAGCCCCAAGAAGCCCATTTACTATTTTAATGACAAGAACTTGATAATGAGGGCATATGAACTGTGTCCTTGGAAAGGAATGCTATGCATACCAGGAAGTCTTTGAGAAGGCTTGAGTTCTTTCCATAACTAAAATCTGATGATGTATTACCAATGACTTCATCCCCAAATGAAAGCTAGCAGCCTGCTTCCATAATCTGTGTGGACAGTTACACCAAAGACAACTTTGGAAAAACATATAAGAAAGAGCCTACGTTTTCTCTTTTGAGTAAAGGAAAGAAACAGTCTGTGTGACTGTGGAGGAGCCACCGTTCGGACCCTAATGTAGGGCCAGCGTTTCTCCTACAACAGTGACAGCAAGGGATTTACCAGACACTTAAAAAATGAAAAAACTGCTAATGATATTTTTTTTGTTGGGGCTCATGAATGAGAAATACACACACAAATGGTCTCCCTCACATGAGGCTTTTGCATCCCAGCAGTTCTGACACTTCAGACTTCATTGCACGGCCTAGTTTTCCCTTTAGAAAAAAGGAACGGTCCCATTCCAGTTGATGGTGGCCTCGCTCCACTTGGTTCTGATTGCCATCTCCACTGGAGAAAATCGTTGTCTTGGTCCGTGTTTATCCTCCTGTTGGTCTCTTTCCCAGTGATGGGAGTGAGTATCTGAAGAAGGAACAGCCAGCATTTAGACCCAAGCCTATAAGCACCATTCTGGAGGAAACCACTAAGGAAGGACAGAAGGGTGGGTGGGCAGGAGTCAGGCTCGGCAGACTGTGCTCCTACAGCTGATTAAGCAGAGGGATATTCATGCAGGTGGTGTGCTGAAATGCCCCATACAGAATGAGTCAGTGGTAACCTGGGTGGTTGTGCATATTGGGATGAAACTGTTGATATGTTGTGTAACATACCTTCCGATACCATGATGTGACACCTGGAACCAGGTATAGGTATTATCAGGGAAAAAAAAAAAAAAAAAAAAGGAAAAAGAGGCCAGGCGTGTTGGCTCATGCCTGTGATCCCAGCACTTTGGAAGGCCGAGGTGGGTGGATCATCTGAGGTCAGGAGATCAAGACCAGCATGGCCAGCATTGTGAAATCCTGTCTCTACTAAAAATACAAAAAAATTAGCTGGATATAGTGGCGGGCACCTGTAATCCCAGATATGCGGGAGGCTGAGGCATGAGAAGTACTTGAACTTGGGAGGTGGAAGTTGCCCTAAAGACTCTAGCCTACGTGACAGAGTGAGCAGAGTGAGACACTGCCTCCAAAACAAACAAACAAACAAACAAACAAACAAAACCCCACTTCTCAATGCTTCTCAGAATACATTTGCATTTTTGGATGGAGGGCAAGGCATTTTATCTAAGGTAAAAGGCAAGAACTGGGTTCAGGTCTTGAGTTTATCTCATATTAGCCAGGTGACATTTAAGAAGATACTTAGCAGCTGGGCGCGGTGGCTCATGCCTGTAATCCCATCACTTTGGGAGGCTGAGGCAGGAGAACTGCTTGAACCCAGGAGGTGGAGATTGCAGTGAGCTAAGATCACTCCATTGCACTCCAGCCTGGGAAACAGAGCAAGACTCGGTCTCAAAAAAAAAAAAAAAGCTACTTAGCATCTATTGGTAAACTTCATTTATTCAATTAGTAACTACTTATTAGGCACCAGAGTCTCCACTTCATAAAAATAGAAATCTAGTACTTATTTTATGTGACTATTGGGAATGTTATGGGTCTTTCTTTTTTTCTTTTTTCAAGAATTCCTGTCTCAGAGGCTTTCAACACAATGCCCAGAACAGAACGTGGATGATTCTTGTGAGCAAATGAAAAATGTTGCTTTACTCAAAGAAGAAAGTTGAACTGGAAACAATATATTGTAAGGAACATATTGTCAATGTTATACTAACTTAAACAGGCTAATATGTATTTCTCATAATTAAAGAGAAATAATTAGAAGCTGCACAGATGAAATAGTCACTAGATGCTTTTCCACATAGAATGATAATAATGGAAGATTACTTAACGCTGGGCTTGTGGTGCAAAGACAGACATAGCAATGCTCCATAAATGCTGCTAAGGCTACAGATACAAACTCCCAGTCTGTCCAATGTTAATCCCTCGTCCAGGGGGTCAGTGTTTAAAGACATTTTAAGGCTAGTCTTTTTCCATAAGAAGTTTAAAAATAAGTCCTTTCAGTCATAAATCATCTGTTTAGTTATCTGCTTCTCCTGTTGTACTGGAACCTCCCTAAAGGTTTATGGAACTTTTTTTGAATGCAAGAAACCAGTCTAGGTGACTATAGAGGAGCCACCATGCAGACTCGTGCCACATTCATCAGTTTTCCCAGTGTCTAGCGCCGTGCTTGGCACACAGTAGGTCCTCAAAAATGTGTTTTGCATTCGTTCGAACAGAAATGTACTATCAGTTTGGTTACTTATGTCATTGATCATCTGGTGTCTGGTTGTGAGATAGCATCAGCCAGTGCTCCCATGGGTTTTCCCAGTTATGTCCTCAGGTATTATATACCTCATGCTCAAAGATAAAAGGCTCTGGAGAATGCTTTTTGGAAATTTGGCTCCACACCTTTTGTTTTTTCTCTTACCTAAAAGTTGTTGGTTCCTCTGTGCCATCTCTAACTGCGCCCCCCCCACCCCCAGCCCCTGCACCTAAGTAAAGCAGGTTTAGAACTCCCACGTTGCAATGCTTGGGTTTAGGTCCATGGGATTGATGTGTGGGCTTCATTTCAGAAACAGAGCCTAGCATTTTCCTGCAGAGCTAGCATGGGTATCCACACAGTTGTTCCACATCAGCAGCCACATCTCTTTGAGCACATTAAAGTCCATAACGCTTGGAGTCTGAAATGCTCACCTATTGTAAGATGCACAGGCTTTTTTTGTGAGGGCTGGCCACTGTAAAAGTACAGATCAAAGCGACGTTCCATTTTCCAGTCTGTTAAGAGCTGCCTGTTTGTGCAGAAAAGGATGCTGTAATTTCCATTGATGTTGCACAGCCAAATAGGTAATTTGGGAGTCTTCAGCATGCTGCCCACCTGGAAGGGGGAAGGGAAATGCAGAGAAATACAGAGATTTTGTCACATTGTCGTACATGCCGATACATGATTGTGATCAAAAAGCAGCTCTGAGGTTTCATGTTGCACTTGTGGCTGTGCAGGGCACTGTACATAGAGTAAGATTTGAAATGAAGGCTTCCTTATGAATGAATTTGCGTTTATGAATGATCTGGTGTGCCACTTTAATCTTAATGAATTAAAATTTTTTTGGTGGTCTCATGGAGGAGGTGAAACAACTTCAGTTTTGTTTTGAGGTGAGGTAAAGAATAAATAGATAGGCTGGGCGCAGTGGCTTACGTCTGTAATCCCAGCACTTTGGGAGGCTGAGGCGGGCAGATCATGAGGTCAGGAGTTCAAGACCAACCTGGCCAACGTGGTGAAACCCCGTCTCTACTAAAATTGCAAAAATTAGCTGGGTATGGTGTCGAGTTCCTGTAATCCCAGCTACTTGGGAGGCTGAGGCAGGAGAATTGCTTGAACCAGGACGCGGGACGTGGAGGTTGCAGTGAGCTGAAATTGCACCACTGCACTCCAGCCTAGGCTATGGAGTGAGATTCCGTCTCAGAAAAAAAAAAAGAGAGAATACATGGATAAACTAAAATAGGAATGTAGTGGTGGAATAACAGAACTCTAATTCTGTCTTTGTCATTGACTAGCATATCTGCTCCCATTCCCAAGATAGGGCAATAATTCATTCAGCAGGTAGTGGTAAGAATTCTGGCAACATCAGCTATTTATAATATAGATAAAAGGATATTTAGGATATATAATATAGCTTGTGGAAAATGAGCAAAACACATACACACATCACATATATACACATGTACCTACAGGTTACTATGCAGATCAATTGTGAAGATGTTCCTAGACAGCAGCTTATCTGTTTTTTCTAAGTACCTGTTAATCAATTAATCTTGCTCTGTCACCCAGGCTGTAATGCAGTGGTGTGACCTCAGCTGACTGCAGCCTTGACCTCTTAGGCTCAAGTGATCCTCCCACCTCAGCCTCTGGATTAGCTGGGATTACAGGTGTACACCATCATGCCCAGCTAATTTTTGTATTTTTTGTAGAGACAGTATCTTGCCATGTTGCCCAGGCTGGTCTCAAACTCCTGGACACAAGCAATCTACCTGCCTTAGCCTCCAAAATATTGGAATTACTGTACCTGTCCTGGCCTTTAATTCTTACAGCTAGTGAATTAGATTTGCAAAACCAGCACTTGGAGGGTAGGAGCAGGGAAGGGGACGTGGTGAAAGGACTGCAGTCCTACACATTTCCAGTACATTTCTATTGGTGATAGCCTCAGTTTGTCTACACAGGCAGGGAAGCACATATTTCTAAAAGATTTTCATCAAAAGTTATTGGAACCATTTTTAAAAATCTGTTAAAATTATTTCAACTTAAAGAGATAAACATGAGTGACATGGACAAACCCATGATTTCCATGTGATGACTGAGAGAATACCTGGGCCCCTTAGCTTCGCCTTTCTTCCCATAACTGAAGCAGCCAATGTTGCATTCTGTTTCTTTTCTTCTCAGTCCTCAGAGTTGTCCTGTTTGTTCAGGAACAAATTCTGTTTTGTGGAAATCTAGTTTTGAAAAATTATCATGTGCTTTGTCAACTCAAGTAGTAAAGGCTAATAACTTGACATTTTGATTTCTCAATAATTCTATTCAAATCTCTTTGTTTCCTTCAGTTTAAATTCTTCAGCTGTGGGTGAGTGAGGTGAAGTCAGAGATGCTTTTGTGTTTAAGTGTTTCACTTTTAGCTACCACAGAAAAGTTCTGCTGTTCTGAAAAGAAATGACCTCAGCTGGTAGTTCAACAAAGGGTGGAAACCTAGCACCCCAATCAGGACATGTTCATAACAGATGCAGGATTTACTCATGCGCACAGTGAGTACCAGTTTTATTGGAGTTAGCGCCTCCGGGCTGAGTATAATGTGAGCGTTTCACATATCAAACATGGGGCAAGTCTGCCCACTGGCTACATCAGAAATAAAACAATGAAGACATGCCATGGAAGCAGTGGCATATGTTTGGTTCCAGATATCTACCACCGATTTCCAAATAACTTGGTGACTTTTCATTAGTTATAAAATAAGCACTTTCTTTCTTAGGCCTTCTTCCTATGGCACTCTTCTGTATTAAGATTATATGTCACCAAATTATGTTAGGCAGGAGGCCATGGAATTATCGAGGTTGAAAATCTTGAATAAACTAGGAGATTGAGAGCTGTTTGTCATAAAATGTAATTCCACTGGAACTTCAAGTGGACATTCTGGTCCATTTTAATCTAATGAAATTCCCTGTAAATTAGTCTGGGTAGGTGTGATAGAATATACACATATATGATATTGTTTCACAGAATATCTGCAGTGTAGGTAAAATTCACCTGTGTTTATTCACAGATAAACACAGTCTGCCATAGTACTGACTGACACAGTATTGTTACTTTATGCAACAATACAATAGTTTTCTTTCCTGAGCTCAAAGCTACTCAAGGTTTTGTTCTAGTAGGAAGAAAATGTAGTCAAAATGCAACCACCTTCAACCCCGCAAAGTGACCATACAGAGCTCTCCCACTGAGCAGGCAGAACCTCGCTTGCCCTGACAGATTCTGATGAAACAGGAAATGTCATGCATGACTGTCGCTGCACTTGAAGTATTAACTTTAAGAGGCGAGCCTTAAGATTACAGTTGAGAACACATCTGGTTTAAAGTGAGTCCTGCAAAAACAAAACAAAGCACCTTCCAACTGAATCCAGCCAGAGATTACATCCCCCTTTCTTCTTGGCTCACCGTATAAGCAGTTTGACTGGCATTTTTTGTTTTAAGCATTTGTATTGCTTTTGGATAGAAACAGTTTACCAGCTACTCCCTAAAAGCAGGATTCTAAATATGTTTTATTGGTAAGATTCCATCAATGCTGAATTTGTGCATGTTGCTTCATGTTGCCATGGTAAAAAGGAAATTAAATTGTGATACAGTGGAGCTATAAATAAAATACCTTTCTCCTTAGGTTCACTCATTGTGTAATAAGCCCAGTATTTTCAGCATTACATGCAGCAATCAAGCTTTTCATAACATATATCGTTTAAGCCAATGTAAAAGTATAAGGACAGCAAGGAGGCTGGACAAATTCTACACATCAGAATGCAATCATTGAGACCATGTAATTCTTTTTTTATGCTGTCTAGAACAATGATGCTTAGAACATGCCTTTGCATAATGAGCTTGATATTGCAAGTCCCAAGGCCCCAGGCTGGTAATCTGAACAGGAGAAAGGTGTTCGAAACGTTATGCTTTCTTCGCTGATTCCTGGTGACAATTCCTGTGCATAACTGTTAATGGTCTGGCTCTCATCTCTGCCACCTGGAATACAGACTTGATGTAACTTCTCTCACTGAGTTAGCAGGTATGTTGTAAAGACAAATTAGTTCATGTTTGCAGGGTGCTATCTCAGTGACTTAGTGGCAGAGTGCGGTGGGTATAGCTTCATTGGGTACTTCTATGGTTGGATTTCTTCCGATCAGACTCTCTAAAGGGAAAACATAAATTGGGAAGAAGGTATGACTGAGATAGTGGTATGTGCTGCCACGGCTGCCGTAGGAGTAATTCTGGCAAGACCCAAATGGCTTCAGTCCCTGAAAAATCGGAGTGGATTTTTCTTCTCAGTGGCAGGTGTGAAGATAATGTGAACCTCCCAAGGCTTTCCAGATGGCGTTAGACTCAAACTGCTTTATGTTCTCACTTAGGTATTGGAACCTCACACTCAAATCTGTACCTTCAAATAGAAAAGTGACAGGGAGGCTTCAAAATAGTGCCTCATCTTGTGGGTAGCTGGCTGCGTTCTGCAGGAACCATCAATCTGGTGGGCTCTGGGGGGCTTGTCATGTCATCTAATGAGAACACCACCTTTTTTTTTTTTTTTTTTTTTTTAAGTCTCACCCACTGGGCTCTGACATTGGGACTGAAAGGCACATGTTTTTGCAATCTCTGCAATTTTATCACAGAGTAATAAGAGATTTACTTAGGGAAGATGGAGCAGCATTATAGGATGCGTTTCACCTTGACAGCAGAATCTAGCTGTCAGGCTGCACGTTGGTTTTCTTCTGAACTAAGAACTCTTTCTTATATCAGGTTTTTATTATCAGAACATAAAAATAATTTTCAGATTTGTTGCACCTAACATAGGCAGGAGCTACTAAATATCCACAAAGCGCTTATATATCTAGTTGGCATTTTCACGGGTCTCATGCAGAATCACCATGGTTTGGAGCAGAAAGGAAAGGTGGTGGCTGCAGCGGTCTTCAATCCAGTGATACTTAGAGCACTGTCCCAGGAGTGCATCATATTCTTTCTTGAGCAAACTTCTGTTCTGCGCAGTATTTCAGTTCTATGCTAGGATGTTGTGAAATATTAGACTTCCGGGGATAATGCAGCCAAATGGTCTTCTGGTTAGCATGTCTCTGAGCACCACGGAGCTTGGTCTCCTAGGGTTAAGGATTTCCATACACCTGACAAATGTGATCTCCCAAACCAGGAGGCAAAGTGGGGACAGTTCACCATCAACACAAACCCACAACTACTCTATCACAGAAGTCAGTGGATAAAGTTCCAGCTTGTTGAACAAAACCGTCATGCTGTGATTTGCTACCATTTAAATGTTACCAACATAAGTATACCTATAATAGATATTATATACTATATCTATAAATAGATATAATAGATGATAAAAGTACTGATGATCGAGTATAATTCCAAGAACTGGCATTTATATAGTTAGCACTTTATCAGAAAATAAGCGAAGATGATAATGGCAGTCAGCATGGCCCAGTGGACAGAATGTGGTCATTGAATGTAGATAGAACTCAGTTCATATCTCTGGCTCTGACACTTGCCTAACTGCTAGCTTTGGGCAAGTCCCCATACCTCAAGCTGGCCTTTCATCTCTAAAATGAATGACCAAGCAATAGA